TAAACCAGTTTGGAAACCTTAAGAACATAGGCCCAGCCCCCCCCAAGGGTCCTTCTGTTGTGGTTTCCCCCGGAAGGGGGGAAAAAAAGGGGACCAAACCCCAGGGGGGCAAAAGCGGGACATGTTTCAAAAAAAAGGGGCCCCACCCCCAGCGTTGGGGAACAACGACCAATATATATATATTTTTTACAGGAAAAAAAAGACACCCACCACCCTTCGTTTAAGTTAACCCACCAACGGTTTTGGCGGGGGGGGGGGGGGGCACAGCGCACACACTCGGACGAGCGTCACTGACAGTCGCATGTCGAAACAGTACTAGGGTCGAGGGCAACAAAGTATGGTCCTTACGAAACGGTGGCAAGCCCTTGAAATCGATACAAGTCAATCCACGCCCAGAGCCCTAAGCACCACCGCTCTCGCCACAAAGAAACCAGGTGCTGCTGTGCGGGAAGCACGCGCATCCCATGCGAGCGTTCCATGGGAGTGGGTGGCTTACACTTACACAGTACAGTCGGCGGTCCTCAATAACGGCTCCCCGAAAAGCGGAATGCCCTCTACAGCGGCACCGAAATCGCTTGGCACAAATGCATTTCTCAGTACAAATCCCCAATAGGAATAGCGGCACTGCCCTCTATAGCGGCACCAAAACCTCTTGTCACTACCTACCGCTATTGAGGACCACCGACTGTACAGAACACTCTCCCGCACACGGCGTTCTTGCCCTGCCAAGGTCGGATATTGCACCCCCCCACCACCACGCCACTGGGACCCCCCCCTCCCCACCACCACCACCACCACCGCGCCCCACCACCATCTGCTTTAAAGAAAATGATGCATGGGAATGCCTCCCACTCATGGAGGCCGCCGACTAAAATATGACGATAAAGCTTGCTCGTAATATCTCGAGAGAAGTAACGACGAAGAGAAGGCATACATACATACACAAACAATACGTCGAAACGAAAGGTCGCCGGACGACAAACACGACGGGCCAGACGTACCTTTGTTCGTCACAACAGCAAAAATGTTTTGCTACAACACACTAAATAACTACCTCTACGGAAACTGATACTATCTCTTTTTTGGGGGGGGGGGGCACACGCATGCACGTGCACCATCCTCGCGCAAAATCGTGCATTCACACACAAGAGAACAGAACTATTCCGCTTCTCTGAACGCCTCCGTATGCTGACAGCGTGGGGGGGAGGGGGGCAACAAAAAGCCCCGCGTCCCACACACGGGAAGCAGACCCACAACACGATGACAAGACGCGACAAGATAGAAAAACCAAAACGAATGAGAGATAATTTTTTTTGCGCACAACAGCACCCGGCGGTAGTCTTTTCTCCACCACCATCACCGTTACTTTCGATGCCCGCGCAGACACGTGGACTGCCCGTAGTGCTGGATGTTGATCTTGGCCGGGGCCTGCTTCCACGGCTCTCCGTCGATCTGCATGTGAATCTCGGACCGAATCCTTAGCTCGACCTCGGCTGCCTGGACGGACATGACCGCGGAACAACACGGAGTGCACACGATACAATTGGTATGTCTCACTTGTTAGTAATAATAATAATATTCAGGGGGCCTGAATGGATATAAGCGCGGAGCAACACGGAGCGCGCGCGATGAAATGTGTATGCCATGGTTTTAAAAATCAAGTAAATATATTGTGGACCAAGCAAACCACGCGTGTGGTGAACCCTGCAAACCACGCGTGTGGTGAACCAAGCAAACCACGCGTAGGTGAGGGGGGGGGTCCGGAGGGGGGGGGGGGGGGTACTCTTATGTTTTGCATGCCTTAGCGGTTAGACCATTGACCACGCGTCCTCGAGAGGACGGAGCATTGTTCCCACAGGACCGATCACCGATGGCTAATCATTCCTTCCTACTTTGCCAAAGGTGGCTCAATATCC